ATTTATGTCCTAGGCTCTGTGCTGGATCTAAGCTACAGAAACAAAGCTGGTGGGTAAGTCCCTGTTCTTGGGGGTTTACAGTCTATCCGATGAAAAGAAGCAATAAACAAGTGAACAGACATACAAACAAGATCATCATGGATGCAATAGGTGCTAGGCAGCAAGCAAGAGTATTTGGTGGCTGGTAGCTAGGGGACGGTTTCAGTAGAAAGGACAGGTGCTATTGAGTTGGCAGCTTTGTCGTGAAAAAATGATGACAAAATGCAAGTTAGCTAAAACCCCCATTTAATGGGCAGAGAATCTGAGGTTCAGAGAAGCTAAGGAATGTGCTCAAGGTCACACAGCAAGTAAATGGGAAAAAGAAGGATTCAGGCCAAGGCCAGCAGGCACTAAAAGCTCATACCAAAAGCATTTGCTTCTTTTCTTTTCTCTTTTCTTTTCTTTTCTTTTCTTTTCTTTCTTTTCTTTTCTTTCTTTTCTTTCTTTTCTTTCTTCTTTCTTTCTTTCTTTCTTTCTTTCTTTCTTTCTTTCTTTCTTTCTTTCTTTCTTTCTTTCTTTCTTTCTTTTCTGGTCACACCACACTGCCCCTCTCCTAGGCCCCAGGCCATCTCTGCTGGAGCACTGGGGGAGATGGAGGCAGAAGGGAGGTGGTGGTCAGGAGTGTGAGGTCTGGGCCGCCTGCTGCTCTGTGACGGTTATAAGGTACTACAACCTATCTGAGAGTTTCACAAGCAGCCGAGGGCACTGCAGTGCCTTTCCTGGTCTCACCTCCCTCCTCCTCTAATTGAGATGTCAACCTTCTGCCTCATTCCCTCCCATCCTGGACACCTGGCCTTGCAGCGCTCTCAGCAGAGACAGCTGATCTCCCCTGCGCCCCTGAGCGCCCTCCATCATGAAGACATAAAGTGAGATTATGTCAAACAGATGAGCATGCACTCCCTCGGCCACTCTTCTTCTTTTCTTTCCACTCTTTCTCCCTCCTCTCCCCTCTGCCCTCTGCCTCCCTCCTCTTTTCCCTCCCTATGCCCCCTCTTTCTCTCTCCCTCTGCCTCCTGCATGCTTTGAGACCAAAGGGCCAGTTCATCTTGCTGCCACCACCTTGGCTACGCTGTGCACCGGTCCACAGGCGTAGGCATCCCTAGCAGCACTGCCCGCTTGGTCCCTGGAAACCATGGCTAATTGGTAAAAGATCACATTTGTTTTTCCACAACCTGAACACTCCAAAGGAGGTGCTGCCAAGCCAAACCAAGAATTCCAGCCTTATGCATCAATCACCAGGGGGACTTCTGGGGTTACCTGTCACCCAGAGGGTGACATTCAGACCTGCTGTTCCTACCTTGACATGTGGGCTTTGCTGATAAGCATCACAGCTCCCGAGTCCATACACACTCTCCAGCACCACAAACAGCAGAATGCTTGAGAGCATTTGATTAATGTGCTGCAAGCTTGCTTTATTCATGTAATTTTACATAAATATCTCACGTAAAAATCATGCCAGTCTTTTATGCTGAGGGAGTATGCTCTATACCTGTTTCCTTTATGCATGTGAGATACTCCAGAGAAGTTAAGTATCAGTGAGATTCTTGTGTATTAAGGCACATTTTAAACTGAACATAGGCAAGGTTTGCAAATTAACATGCAGCAAATCTCTGAACTCAGTTTCCTTATAAGAAAAATGGGTTTAATAATTTTTGCCCCAGCTAGCCTACAGGGCTGTTGAGAGACTCGTGGAATAAAATTTTAATTTTGTGGATGTACTTTGTAGCCTGCAAAGCACTTTATTACATCAAAGTAATGTTGTTGTTGCTAAAATGAAGACGTAGTTGGCCAAGTACATTACCACCTCCAAATAGAAATTTTGTAATAATACAATTTCCATGTATTTGGTTCGCTAAGACAAAGATTATTACACTTACATGTTTTTTGGATCCAGCCAGGCAGGGATGGCGTCTCACTAAGCCTTCTGAGACTTCAGGAGCACTCTGTGGTTGCCCCTGGCTATGACTTGCTATCTGCAGCAAAGAGCATCCTGTCTGAGGATGTCTATTGAAGTCTTAATTTCAGGGCACCAGTTAACCTTAAGACCCCAGTTTATCTTCACCTTGATCAATATGATATAATAAGAGTATGAGAATGGAGGAAAAAACCTACAGCCTCCTTCATCTTGGAATGTTCTCCATCCTAAACTGCTAGGAGCTGTAGGGCCAGAGAGACATGTGTGTGGGATTCCCCACCCAAGGGAGAAGCTGCTTGCTGCATAGAGTTCCTCTCTCGGTACACAACACTTTAAGGCAAAATGGAAAGACTGCCTCTTGGGAGGGAATTTATTTTATTCAAAGAATAGCACCAAATAGCAAGATTTATGGCACATATATCTGGGAAAGTGCTCGGCAGCAATCAGATGCCTGTCTGTGCTCTTGTTCTCTTGGGACCGCCTGCAGGTACAGTCATGGCTTAACTATAAGAAAATATGACAAGGGCAATGAGGAGTGTAGCTTATAAATTATTTTCTGATGCTGTTTATGGAGGATGAGACTCTAGTTGGGGTGGGTAGTGGCAGGATGCAAGATCAATGGTGGCTGTGCCCTTACCAGACATTTTAAGGACCTTGGAACATCGCTTTTCCTCTCTGAGAGAGACCACTGTCAACTCATTAGTCAACACACTAGTATTCAGGGTCTCTGCTGGGCAAATCATCCTGTTAGGAGATATGGAAGGGACCCCAAAATATTTCCAGCATAGCCCAGGAGCTCTTGCTTCAGCTGGAAAGGCAAGATGTTCTTGTGGGTAAAGATAAGGGCCCAGAAGGGAGCTAGGAGGAAGGAGCTAACACTGTCCCACCTCCTGCCAGGACAGAGGTGCTTGAATAACATTATCCCATTTGATCATCATCACCACGAGGTAACATCTTCACCCCATTTTAGGGATGAGAAGGCTGAGAACAGAGAGGTTAAGTGACCTGCTCCAGGGCCCACAGCTGGTAAGTAGCAATAAAATGTTCGTTCCTAGTCTGTTTAATTCTGAGGGGTCCAGAATCCAGGTGAAGTTTTCAAATTGACCTCCCTATTGATTTTGTCAGGGATAAGCACCAATTTTAGAATTTTGTTTAGAAAAACAAAACAACATTCAGTTGTACTTGCTCTTACTCAGTTCACTAAGTGATATGGGTGGGGAGGGGAGGTGGGGGGGGCTACTGAGAAAATACTAGCTCTAGCTCTGAAGCTTTAATGTCCTCTCCAGTTGATAAACTATATTTCTAAGTAATTGGTCTTGTCCATTTGCGTTTCCACAGCCAGACTCTTTCCTGGCTGAATATTCCCTTCCCCCACTGCCATCTTCCCACGTTCATTTAGCTTCTCTCTCTCCCTCCCCTCACACACACACACACACACACACACACACACACACACACATATCCAGATGCACACCTTCCCACCACACACCCATATGCAAAATAAAATTAGAAATACTGCCCGACTCTCAAGGTATTTAGGGAATGGAGATCTTCAATCAATATAGCCCAAATGACGCTCTCCAGGCTCGCTCCCTCCCTCCCCAGTCAGTGCTGGAGGCCCGCAGAGCTTACCGAAGAGGGCCCAGACAGCCATGATTGTGACACAAAGCAGCTCTAAAGGGAAAAAGGCCATTTGTGCATCCCTGTGTCTGCCCTGTAGCCACTGGAGTCACAGAGCTACCAGATTCTCAGAATGCAGCCCCTTTGCAAGCTGTTCTTTTGCTTACATGTAGAACCCTTTGAGGACATGGAAAGGTTTCCGGGCCCCCTTTTTATTTTGATGTATTCTGATAAAATACAGAGAAAACAACAACTGATGGCTCAAAACTATAGGCTGAGCTGCTAAGCATATGGTGCTCATGTTCAGGGATTGCCCTTGTTTTAATCAACCAGATGAGGAAGCAATAAACACTTATTTATGATGTTAGCCTTCCCCAACATAATAGGAATAGGCCAGATGAGTGAGCTATGACAGCCAGGAAATTGAGGTAGTGGTGGCACCATTATTCCTGCAGTGTCTCTAAAGCTTTCTCTGCTTCCTCCCCGTCCCCACTGACGCACACTGGCCAAGTGTCTCTGCCCTCTGGCCCTCTTTCTCCTGTGCCTCTCAGTACCCACCTCAGAATAGTGGAGGCAGGAAAGGGAAGGACTGGAACAGGGAGGTGGGGATGGGGCTCCAGGCAGGAGCTCCTGGTTCAAGCACTGTGTCTGGATAAATCCTTCTGTTGTCTTCCCTTCTCCCAAATCAGAGCTCCCCCTGGGTCTCAGGGTGATTCTGGCTGTACAGAGGCCGAGAGCCTGTGCCTTAGTTGGAATCCAGGCTCCGTCACGTCCCGGGATGACGCTGGCCATGCGACTTAGTTTCTCTGTGCCTCAACCTCCTCATCCATACAATGGGATGACTGAACTTCTGCTTGCGAGGGTTAACCAAGCCGGCTTCTGCTCAAGGCTTAGCACCCTGCCTGGTACAGAGCAAGAGCCCAGCAAACAGTGTCACCAATTATGAACTCATACTCAAATAGTGCTTACCAGGGGCGGGCCCGTTTAAGGGCTTTACCTGGGTCGTCGCGCAATCCTTACATCTCTGTTTTACAGATGAGGAAACTGGAATCTGAAGATCACACCGCGGTGAATGGCGGATATGGAGACCCAGGCGGACAGGCTCCAGAGTTGGGGCTCTCAACCCCTGGGTGCACAAGGACGCTGGGCTTTATGGGTGTTGCCCCCAGGCAGGCTCAGCTCTCGCCCCCCTAGGCTCCCCCACTTCCGAGGCAGGGGGTGGGGGGTGGGGGAGCAGACGAGGGCCAGGACGTGCACCTCGGCGCTCCATGCAGACCCCCGGTGGGGGGGGGTCAGGCGGGGCGCCCCAGCCGGCTCCCGCGGAGAGGAAGGGGGGCGCCGGTGCTCGGGGCGGAGAGGGGTGGCCAGAGCGCCGCCCCCAGGACGGGAGGGGGGCTGGCGGGTTGAGGGGTGCCCGGCGGCCGTCCCCGCCGCCGCCTGGCCCCCACTCGCCGGCGCCCCAGTGGGAGGACGGCAGCTGCCCGCTCCCTCCTCCCCGCATCCCCGCTACCTGCCCAGTCCCCGGAGCGGAGCGCGCGGAGGCTGCGAGCCGGCGGGGCCGAGCCCACAACTTTGCAGCCTCGGGCAGGGCGAGCGCCGGCGTCCAGGGCTCCTCCGGTCGGCGGCCCGAGCCCGGTGAGTTCGCTTCCCCAGCCCTCTGCGGCGGCGCGGGGCGGCTTCCCGGCGTCCGGGAGGCGGTGGCCGGGGACCGCGGCCGCCCGCGCCGCCTGCCTCGCTGGGGCTCCGGGCCGGGCCGCCCTCCGCCGCGGGCGCCGAGCGGGCGGCTCCCCGCGCCCCCGGGCCGCCCGGGGGGCTCGGCGCTGGGCGCTCGGGTGCGGGGCCCGCCCGCCGAGCGCCCCCCGCCCCCGCCCCCGGCCCGGCCCGGCCCCGGCCCCGGCCCCGCGCCGCCTTCCCCGGCGCATCTGGAGGCTGCTCCCGCGCCCCCCTGGCGACCGGCGCGGGGAAGACACTCGCTTCGCCCGAGCGCGGAGCCCAGGGCTCCCCCGGGTGGGCAGCGCCGCCCCCGCAGCCCCGCAGCCCCGCAGCCCCCGGGCGCCCCGCAGCCGGCCCCGGCGACCGCCTCCCCGCGAGTCCGGCCGAGCCCCGCCGCCCACAGCCCGAGCCCCCGCCGCGCCGCAGGCCCCCGGGGCGCCCTGGCACCTGCGAGGGGACCCCCAGGTGGTCGGCCGCCCCCGCGGGACCGCCCAGGCCTCGTCGCTTCCGCCCGGCCGCGGTGCAGCCGCCTTCCCAGAACTTTTCTTGGCGCCCGGGGCTCGCCGACTCCTCAGCCCCCGGAAAAGTTCTCTCGGGCGCTGGGAATCCCATTTCCCGGCGGCGTCCGAAGCTGGGGAGCAACCAGGGCGGTGGGGGCCGGGGGGCGTGGTGGGGGGATGCGGCGGGGGTGCGGGCCGCCGGGTGCAGGGGGGTGCGGGCCGCCGGGTGCAGGGGGGATGCGGCGGGGGTGCGGGCCGCGGGGTGCAGGGGGGATGCGGCGGGTCCGCCGGGTGCGGGCCGCGGGGTGCAGGGGGGATGCGGCGGGGGTGCGGGCCGCCGGGTGCAGGGGGTGCGGGTCCGCCGGGTGCAGGGGGTGCGGGCCGCCGGGTGCAGGGGGTGCGGGTCCGCCGGGTGCAGGGGGGTGCGGGTCCGCCGGGTGCGGGCCGCGGGGTGCAGGGGGGATGCGGCGGGGGTGCGGGCCGCCGGGTGCAGGGGGGTGCGGGCCGCCGGGTGCAGGGGGGTGCGGGTCCGCCGGGTGCAGGCCGGCGAGCGTCCCATCCCCTCCTTCGCGCGGGGCGGGCTCGTTGGCACCGAAAGGGTTTCGGCGCCATCGGGGTTGTTTGGGTTTCTCGCTCCAGGAGGATGGGGGGAGGGCGCGCTGGGGGGTTTACATTTCGTCGCTTCAAATGAGAACGCTCTTTGCCAAGAAAGAGCCAGGGCAGCCAGCGACGGAGAGATGGGCGGACCGGGACCCGCTGACACAGGTATTCCGGCTGCGCCCCCCCCCCCAGCTCACCCGCTGCCTGAGCGCCCGTGTGAATGTATCGATTGTTGTAATTGATTTTTTTTTTAAAGCCAGGTGGCAGCGGCTGCGTGTGTAATACAGATATATGCACACACAAACAGATAGCCAGGCGCACACAGCTTACACCGTCATACACAGAACACCCTCCACTCAGCACCCCCGCCCCACACACACACACCAGGGACCTACAAGCACAGGAATACCTCCAAAGAGCCTTGGGTGAAGGGTGTGGTCCTTGGGTATTGCCCAGGATTGGGTGGGGGTGGGGTGGGTCAGAGGGCCAGAGAAAAGGAGGTGAGGCAGGACTTCCAAAAGGTCATTTCTCTCTGGTCCACCCCAAATTCTTTGCTTTCTCCTCCAAGGGAGTCTGAAGGAGAAATCCCAAACCTGGGCTCCTTTCCTCTGCCATAGAGGAGCAGAGCCCCAGCCCCATGCCCCTCATCCCCTCCAGAGAGCAAATAAGGCCGGGCCTCGCCTTCCTTGTGCCTGACCCCAGAGGTCGCTCAGATGTTCAGAAACCAAGGGAGCGGGCACCCCGAGGTAGGGCCTGCCCCCCCCCCCCCCCGCACGCACCCAGAGGCACTTTCAGTCAGGGTATCACACCTGCTTGGTCTCGGGTTAGGGAAGAGGAGAGGGCTGATCCAAGGGACAGGGGTGGGGGGGTTGGATTTGGGTGGGGTGGGACGGCCAGACTGCACCCCCCTGGACACCGCAGTGAGTCTTCCTCTCACCCTGGGCCCCTTAGGAATGTAATCGAGGATGCTGGCCCTGAGGCTGCTCAACGTGGTGGCCCCCGCCTACTTCCTGTGCATCTCCCTGGTGACCTTGGCGCTGCAGCTCTTCCTCTTCCTGCCCAGCATGCGCCAGGACCCCGCCACCGCCCGCCTCTTCCCTCCCGCGCTGCTCCACGGGGCGCTCTTCCTGTTCCTCTCCACCAATGCCCTGGGCAATTACGTCCTGGTCATCCAGAACTCCCCCGAAGACCTGGACGCCTGCCAGGGGCCCCCGGCCAGGAGGGCCCCGTGCCCCCCACCCAGCACCCACTTCTGCCGAGTGTGCGCCAGAGTCACCCTGAGGCACGACCATCACTGTTTCTTCACGGGCAACTGCATCGGCGGCAGGAACATGCGCAACTTCGTCCTGTTCTGCCTCTACACCTCCCTTGCCTGCCTCTACTCCATGGTGGCCGGCGTGGCCTACATCTCCGCGGCCCTTTCCACCTCCTTCGCCCACCCCCTGGCCTTCCTCACGCTCCTTCCCACCTCCATCAGCCAGTTCTTCTCCGGTGAGTGGGCCTCGGCAGGCAGGTTGGGCCCCACGCAGGGACCCTCCACCCCTACCCCAAGTTTGCCACGTTCAGCAAAGAAAAACACAGGATGCCCAGTTAAATCGGAAGGGTGGATGAACAATGCATGACTTCTTAGTAATAAGTATGTCCTAACTATTGCATGGGGCATACCTAGATTTTAAAAATTCTGTTATCGAGGCACCTGGGTGGCTCAGTAGGTTAAGCTGCGGATTCTTGTTTTGGCTCAAGTCGTGATCTCAGGGTTGTGAGAGCGAGCCCTGCTTCCAGTTCCATGCAGAGTGAGGAGTCTGCTTGATGATCCTCTCCTTCTGCCACTCCCCCCACCCATCCACCCAGGGTGCTCTCTCTAAAGTAAATAAATCTTTAAAAAAATAAAAATTCTGTTATCTATCTGAAATTCAAGTTAACTGGGCATACTGTATTTTACCTGACCACCTTGCTCTTCACCCCCAGTTCTCATTCATCGTCCCCTCCTTGCTTGCCACTAACCATTTGCGCATAGAATCTCCTGGTGACCCAGGCAATACACTCACTCTCTGCCAGACAGGACTGGGTGCTGATCATCCCTCCATGCAGCTTGTGCTAGCCATCCCTCCATGTAGCCCATGCTATGACCTTCCTCTGCCTAGACTCCAGTCCTGCTCACATATTCCCCCAAGGATTTGCCTTCCAAAGGTCTTGCCAACCAAGCACAGTAAGCCAGCAGGAGGCTAAGCCCTGCACTCTTGCCCATGTGTTTGTCCCTACCAGGCTGCTTTTTAGCCTAGAGATGGCTTGGAGCAAAGGGCACCTGCTGCTGGAGATGTGCCATGTTGAATGGTTCCATGTTCACATCACAGAGCTATGGGACTGGCATGGGATTTGACACTCCGGGAGGCTCTCACACTTACAGGAGCCAGGCATGTGGGCCTTCCCACTAGCACTCAGCTGAGCACCCTGTGGGGTCTGTATTTGATATGGTGTATCTCAGGGAGAGCTCTTTGATTCCTGGCCTAGAGGGATCTGGCTCCTGGTGGCAGTTCTTACCACTTTACCTGGACTTGAAATTTGCCCCTACCTCATTTCCTTCCATTCCATCCCTACCCTGGCTTTTGACTCCAGCTGACTTGGCTCTTATAGTTGGTAGCATGCACGCATGAGTGTGCATGAGATTGTTATCTCCATCTCTCAGATGAAGACACTGAGGCTCAGATGGGATAAAACAGCTTGCCCAGGATCTTACTACTACCAACCAGCAGCCTCTGTGCCTCCCTCAACCCCAGGTCTTGAAACAACCCCTAGCAGCACAGGGAATCTAGCATGTTTCTTCACCTACGGACTTTTCAGGGACAAAGAAAGACATGGCTATTTCCATTGGGAGCCCAAGACTGTCTTGATGTGCCTGGGCTGGCCACTCACAAAAGTTCTGCTCCACTCTGAGGGAAGCCATCATGTTGGTCTTTGTTGGGACTGCATCCTGGTCCTTCGCAGGAGTAGAACTGTTGCGCCATCAGAGTGGGAACTCCGAAGCGTAGGAAGGCCCCAGCCGTCCCAGCTGTAGGGTTGCCTTGAGGGCTGATGGCTGAGTTCGGCCCAGAACTCAGAGCTTTGGGGCCTTCTGGATCCTGGCATGGGCACAGGAGACTGCTAGGACCAAAATAACCAGGACGGGGGTGGGTAGGTGGGCGGGCCAGGGGGTGGAGTGTGAGCACAGGCAGGTGGAGGGATGAGGAGAGCCAGAGAGAGCCTGATTACACTTTCTTTTCCAAGTAGCTTCATCATATCAAAATGAATGGTTCCAAAGGAAGGATCTTGAAATGGTTTGATTTGAGATAAGCCTGGGCTTGAGGCTTGTCCATATGTGCTAGGTTTTGGAGACAGGACAGAAAGGAAGAGGAGCTCTTGCTTTGATCTGGGCGGGGGGAACAGAACCAGTCAGTACCTACCTTGGGGCCCAGATCCCTGGTGCAGCAGCAGGGTGAGTCCCGCCCCCTTTTCCAAACTCCTCATACCCACCGGGGAGAGGAGGCCAAGATTTCTAATCTCCAACTCTCCCATTTCATCCATCTATCCATCCTCCTCCTTCGCTGACCTTTCTTCCCGCCCTGGGCCAGCCCTTCTCACTCCCTGCAACTCACCCCTTCGGCTTCTCCCTTCCTATCTCCTCTCTAATTCTCAGCCCAAAGGGCTGTGGGCACACCCTCTCTCATCTGCTCAGGAGGGCAGGTGGACAGGAGGCAATAGGAAGGGACAAGCTGTTTAACAGATTGAGCTGTCCACAGCTGCGGTACTGCCCCGAGTCAGAAGTGCCAGCATAGCAAGGCAGGTTTTCTTTCATTCAATCCCCACAACAAGTCTGTGAGGTAAGTACCATCATATCCATTTTAAAGGCTCAGGAACCAAAGGCTCAGCAAGGTTAAGTTGCTTCTAAACCAACATGACTAGTGTGACTCTAACCCGAGATGGAGACTCAGGGCTGCTAGCCCCTTAGAGCTAGCTCATCCTCTTTCCGCTGCACCGCATGGCCTCCCTGGAGCTGCCTCTGAAGCTGCTTCTTGATGAATGAGCCACTTTGGGAGGGAGGGAGGTTCTTGTCCCTGGATGTCTATTAAAGATGCTGGGTGACAATCTGTCAAAGGTGTTACAGATGCCTGGTAGGAAGGAGAGGTGGAAGGATTGGATCGTGTGACCGTTCAGGCCTTTCAGGAGAATTCTGTGATTTTTCTAAAAGAAGCAGAACTATTATTAAATAATTCAAAGGAGCTGAGGCAGCCAGGCTGAGCAACTTCAAACACTTCAAGGGAAAGCAGGTCCCCAGAATAGCCTTTTGTAGCTGCTGCAAGGGGCCAGGAAAAGGCCACAAGGTCTTTTCCGCATGTCTTGATTTAGTGCCAGAAAAAAGCCTATGGAAAACAGCTTCCATCAGCCCAGGTTTATCCGTGCAGCTGAGTTGCAAGGCAGGCCCTACAATTGACAGATCTGATGTTCTCACGTCCCAGCTAGAGGGCCATCTTTGCCTGTCAGCATTCCCGGAGCCCAAAGAGCAGTCCCAGGATCCCTCATCCTGCACGTGGCTGCCTGAGCTAATCTATGCTGACAAGGAAGAAATGGGTCAGAGGGATGGAACTGGCCTATGCAAGCTGTCCCACTGCCACCCTCATGCCAGCTGAGGGGCTGCTGAAAACGCCAGCTGGAATGAGCTTTCCATCCCCTGGGCAGCTGGACTTACTTGTCTCTGGTTTTGCAAAGAGAAACGTGCCATCAAAGCTCCCAGGGCTGGGGGCAAAAGGAGGCTGCTAATGAGAAAACCTGAATCTGGTCCATATCCTCCTGGCTGCTGAGTCCACCGCTGCTCAGATCGGACAAGTTGTAAAAGCCAAACCCTTGAGGGGCCTGGAGAGACCAGAGAGGAGGTGGGTGGGGCCAGGGGAGGCTAGAGAAGAGGGATTTGGTTGAGATTCGCAGAGGCAGAATAGGTTATAAGGTGATGTCTCTGGAGCAGGAACCTTCATCTCATTGGAAGGGGTGGTGGTGGACTTGTCGTGCAGGGAGAGAGGGGCTAAGGAAGGCTTTTGAGTTCCCTGGTGGACCACCACCCTCCCGCTGGGCAAGTTAAGCTGGGGGTCTCTACCATGGCTGCAGCTTATCCAGTCTTCAAGTCCTGGAAAGAAGGAGAAAGCTTGGTGGTCTTAAGAGTTAAACGTGAGCCCTTCTTGGATGTAGTCTCATCTGTGAATGACCCTCAGCAGGGAACATCGCACTATGAACCAGAATGCTAGCCACATTGTACATCATTTCCCTGAATCATGCAGGGATTACTAGAATCCTATGGAATCATTCTACAGATGAGCATTTTACAGATGAGCAAAACTGCAACTAAGAGAGATTCAGAAACGTGTATGAGACCACAGAGCTGAGAGATTCAAGCTAGCATGGACTGACCACCCCAGATCTGAAGAAGGGTGCGGGATCTCTTACTCAGTGGGTTTAAATTTTTTTAAAAGATTTTATTTATTTATTCATAGACAGAGAGAGAGAGAGGCAGAGACACAGGCAGACGGAGAGGGAGAAGCAGGCTCCATGCAGGGAGCCTGACGCGGGACTCGATCCCGGGCCTCCAGGATCACACCCCAGGCTGCAGGCAGCGCCAAACCACTGCGCCACCGGGGCTGCCCACTCAGTGGGTTTAAAAGCAATAATAAAAGTGCCGATTTGGAGGGGTTTGGAGAGGTCCTGCCCAAGGCAGGGAGCTGGATTGATGACCTTGGGGACCTCTTCCAGCCTTAGCAAGCTCTGACAGGCAGGACAACTCTGGCCAAATGCTCTAGTGGCCACACTGTCCTCTTGTTAACATTAATGACTGAATTATTCTCCAACTCAACGCTCTGCGCTGCCCTTGGAGCTTGTGACTTATTCTTCTTGATGACTAGGCCCTGTTCTCCATCATGCTGTCACTTTCTGGAGACCTCCCAGCCAGTGCTCCCAGCTCCATAGGAAGATGGCGCTGCAGTCAAGGCAACTGCCCGGGGAGCCAGCTCCCTCTCTAGCATCCTCAGCTCACCCGCCTCACCTCCTGAGAAAACATCTCCCTGTTTCCAGACCACACAGAGAAGGCAGAGGCATTCGGCGGCGTCCCGGACTCTGAGGAAACATCAGCGGCTAGGCACTGCCCAGAGAAGCTTCCTTTTCTTCTGCTCACCGCCCCCAGTCCTCCCCTCTCCCCTCTGGAGCCATCCACACCACGAAAAAACTTAGGTCAACTAGTTCATCCTTCCTGTCCCTCGCTGCAGCGCGGAGATTGCTACAAAATACAGCTTCAGTTCCATTAATCTCCCGCTCTCCCTAGCGGAACGCACAGCCCGGGTCGCAGTTGAGTACATGGCCTGGGTGTAAAGCGATTCTGGTGTGTCCCCCTCTCCCCCCCCCCACAGGAGCTGTCCTCGGTTCTGAAATGTTCGTCATCCTCATGCTCTACCTCTGGTTTGCCATCGGCCTGGCCTGCGCCGGCTTCTGCTGCCATCAGCTGCTGTTGATCCTCCGCGGACAGACCCGCCACCAGGTGCGGAAGGGGGTGGCGGTGAGGGCCCGGCCCTGGCGCAAGAACTTACAGGAGGTCTTCGGCAAGAGGTGGCTGCTGGGCCTGCTGGTCCCCATGTTCAATGTTGGAGGTGAGAGCTCCAAGCAGCGCGACAAGTAGCAGGCATTCCCATCATTTCTGTGTGTGTGCGTGTGTGTGTGTGTGTGTGTGTGTCTTGACTCCTCCTGAACATAAGACCATGGCACTTTTGTCTCCACCCATGACCCGATACAACCTTGAGCTGGTAAGGTTCTAGCATCCGCCCCTGGTCTGTGGCATGTAAGAGAACAGTGTTGGCTGGTGGATCGTGGCAAGCAGGAAAAATGCCTCACCTCACCCCCACCCCCAGCCATTGCTAGGCTCCCAGGAGCCAGCCAACTGTTAGGAGGCCCCTGCTTTCCCCCTCTGCCTGGTTCATCCACCCTTTCCTATGTCTCATGTCATCACTGCTATCAGCTAGAGCTCTTCTCTCAGACCCATGTTAGGATTGGAGAGTGGATTCTTGCTGTTGGTAGGATGCTCTCTGGGGCCTAGAGGCTGGCAAAAATGTTTAAAGTTATCATGTGTAAGAGGTAGCCAAGTTGGCTCTGCCAACTAATAGTGAGGTGAGAAAGGAGGGGTGTGTTCTTATCCTCCCTGTGGAATTGTGAGCAGTGGAAGGGAAACTCAGTAGTTTACTGCTCCAACGCCAAGTGCCAAGGCCTTTTCTCTGGGAGACAGCAACCAATGGCCAGGGATTTCTAGGTGCTGTCCCCTGCCAAGCCTGCTCCGGCTAGCCACCTCAGCCCAATCTGGGACCTGCCTGGATGCTTCCTTTCCCTGGCATTCTTCCAGCTTTCCCTTCTTGATCTCTAGCCCCTGGGTCTTTTCTACATTCTGGGGAGGCAAGGAAGAAGGAAAGAAGTACTGATAAATGAGAGAAGCATGAGACTGCATAACCATACCGAAGGGGATGTGTGTGTGTGTGTGTGTGTGTGTGTGTGAGAGAGAGAGAGAGAGAGAGAGAGAGAGAGAGATGAAGAGGAGGAGTTTTGTTGTGAAAACAGAATGCTTAGGGGAGGGAAGGGGAGAGGCCACACAGAGGTTGGGCAGTGGGATATTTGAGGAACAAGAATGAGAAGAGCGAGTGGGTTCATTTCTGAAGGACATTCTAGCAGCTAAAGCTGTTCAGTGTTTGAATGGCTGCCTGGGGAGGCAAAGAGTGCCTCACTGGAGGTATTCCAGCAGGGACTGGCCAGTCATCTGGCAGGCATGCCATGGAAAGAATTTCTGCATAGGGTCAAGAAACAAAAGATCCTTTCCCACCCCCAAGATTCTGGTGTCCTCTTTGTGATTGCCTGGTCCAGAGGCAAGATTATAGAGATGCCTGTGAATTATTTGCTTTCAGGAAGGGGGGAGCAGGCATGGAGAAGCCTGAAAATCATGATGCAAACTTTCAGGATCCTACTTAGCCACTGAAGAGGGAGTCTCTGGATAGACAGGACAACCTAGGTATTAATGCTGGTTGAGGAGGTTGGCATTTGAGGAAAGGGAGATGGAGCAGTGTCGGGGCAGGTGGGGGCAGGGGTGGGAAGAGCTGAAAGGTCATGCTCAGCTCTGAGAGGTGAGGTTGGGGGAGTTGAAGCTTGGGAACGGGGGAGACCAAAATGTAGGGGTGCAGTTGTGAGACCATCTCTGCTTATCTAATTGGTTCGATGGGGACACTGCTGTATGTTCTAGGACCCAGAGGATCAAATCTCTGGGAAATATTCAGGAGTGGGGACAACACAAGTACCCCTTCTGACTGTATACCAAAGTCAGTCTGCCATACATGCAGGCAGCAGGGCTGAAGTCCACAGCCTACAGTGTCCAACTGGTGGCCACAGCAACTCCAAGCATCGCCACACAACACCCTGAGATCTTGAGCAGAGTTGGGGAGGACTTTACTTTGGTCCTGCCTTCATGCCCCTTATAGGTCTAATGTGGTAATAGCATCACTGGCTCACACTCCCTCCCATATCTATTTATTCATTCATCCATCCATCCATCCATCCTACATATATTTATTGAGTGCCAACTATATGCCAAGTCTCTTCCAGGCACTGGTATACAATGATGAACAAGACACACTTGTTGTGATGAGCACTGGGTGTTATATGTAAGTGATGAGTCACTAACCTCTACTCCTGAAACTAATATTACACTTGGTGTTAACTAACTGGAATTTAAATAAAAACTTGAAACAAACAAAAATTGATGAACAAGGCAACAAGATCTCTGCTGTCAGGGGCATCTTGTCACTGCCCCGATGCACTGACTCCCACCACTTGAAAAATGATTCTTCTGCCATGTTGGTGTCAGCAGGGCAGGTCACTTGGAGAGGAAGGATATTTGCAGAGAAGGCTGAAGAGGAGCCCAGGCTGGCTGGCTGGAGGAGTCATTGGGGAGCATCTTCACCCCCAGTTCTGTCCATACTTAAACAGTGGGAGTGGAAGGGAAGGGAAGAGAGGTCCTGGGCAATCCAGGCCTTGGCTCTCTCCCAACCCAAACTCAAGCTTGGAAGCTAGCCATGCCATTCCCAGCCTCCTGGAGGCTGAGCACTGTGAGGCTTGACATGGGGAAAAGAAATAAAAGAGAGACCTGCGGGGGTTGACTCCTGACAGACTGGTCAGTGGGTGGTGATGGTGGGGAGGTTGCCCGGTGTGGAACTGGGGTAGCATTTGTATACATGGCCCTGTATTGTTGATAAAAAACATCAATAAAATATGTGGTGTTAAATTGGATTTGATGTGATCACACGGGCACCACGTTGGTAGTAGGGCTGGCAAGGCTGGAATGCAGTGACACTGTCATAGTAGCCATTGAAATATTTAAGGTAAGTATTAAAAATACTTCTATTCTAGTAGGTAAATAGCCACTCTCCAGACTCCCTGGGTGACCCACCCCTGCTGCTCCAGCTGCTCCTGCTCCTCTCCTGGAATCCCGGGCTCACCTCAGAATTCAGTGATTAAAAGGGCAATGTCTGTTATCTGCATGGAACCCCCAGGATCCCCCTCCAGCCCATCAGCTAGTGTCCTTTGTGACGGAGCAGGATAGTGCTATGTGGTTGGTAAATGTGTGGATACCACCCCAGGGGTGGTAGCATGTCTGCGTGCTGAGATCTGTGGACCCATGGAGACCAGGAGTAGAAGGTCTAACCTGGGAGCTTTCCTCTTCCTCCGCCCACTCCTCTTCTTCTCCCACCCCTTCTCCATGAAGAGAAGCCACTCAGTTATCCATCACAGTCAGAGCTGAGAGCTCCTGAGGATCAGCCAGACTCCCTGACCTTTCAGCCCCTACAACACTTGGAGACTACAAGCTGCCCAGTCCTGGGGGCAACAGAGCAGGGGTGGGGCCCTGCAGGAAGGGAGTGGTCCCTGAGCAGGTGAATGGGCATGATGTCTGATGCATCCTAAAGACAAGCAGGCCTGGACTAGTGGAAGACACAACTACAAAGTGCTAGTTCCATCTGGGCTGCTGAAGAATCTTCAGCCTAGGCCAGTGTTGTATGTATATGGGTCTTCATTCCCTGGACACATGCCAATGAGCAACCATTGGTATGCTGGGTGAGGGGCAGGGAGGAGATGAATAGAGCTGTGGCTAATCTTCAGCACATTCTAGAGCATGGGCTGTCTACACTCCACAGGTCAGACACTCTCACCTTTTCACCGTTGTATCCTGAATGCCTAGCAGGAGCTGGGTACATAGTAGGTGCTCAGTAAATATTGACCAAACAAATGCTTAGATTTTGTGCTCATTTGCTCATTCCACATCTCTTTGCTGTGCATGCTATGGGGCTGGAAGAAGATGAGACAACACTGTCCTCCAGGGGTTCACATCCTAGGAGAGGTTCCTGGGAAACCCCAGAGGAGGAAGAGAGCCCGCCCCAGCTGTAGAGACAAGAGAGCTTCCATATGTGGAGAAGCTGGAGGCATGGATGAGATTTGAGCAGGCAGAGATAGACAAGGGGGGGGCATTCCAGGAAAAGGGAACAGGCCTGGAGCTTTGGAGTGATCATGGGACTGTGAGCATAGAAGATACCACAGAGAGGCAGAGGGACTTAAATCTAGGAGTTGGAACCTGAACTAAGAGATCTGGAGTGAAGTTGATAGGGGAACCATTACAGGTTGTGAGCAAGGGAGTTACAGGATTAGAGCTCAATTTCAGAAAGTGGGGCTTTGGTGGGTAGACTAGAAGTGGGGAAGGCCCAAGAGGAGGCATTTGCTGAGGGTGACATACACCAGGGCTTAGGTAGGCATACTGGCTGTGAGCCAGTAAAGGAAGGGAAAGTGTCAGAGCCACTTCACAGACATGAGCATGAGTTGGAAGGGTCTAGGGGGAGAAGGCCCCAGGTGATCCTGAAGGTTGAGACAGGATGGTCAAGGTGATCTCAAAGGAAAGACCATTAGGGCCAATGGAGTGGGGAGATCATGACTTGGGGATTCAGGGTAACCGGGATCACTCGCCTCTGTCAATGGTCCATTGGTTGGTGATTGATGGTGTCACTCGTAACTAACCACTCTGTAACCTCTGTAACCTGCCTCAGGCAGGGCAATCTGCACACTGAGCCACGCAGCACAACCTTCTGACTGCCAAAGCTGGGAGAAAACATCTGCCTGTGAGAATAGAGGTCACAAGTCCTTGAAGAGACCTGAGCCCCCACCTGTTATAATGAAGAAGCCAGTCCTTAGGTCCCAGCAGCCATCTTTTAGCCAGTCTCCTTTCCCAAGAACATGACTGTCCTTGTCATTCCTGTCCTTGTCACTCCGTGCACGTACTCCAGGCACAATACCCAACTCAGTGTCCTGCAACTGGCCTCATTGCTCCTCTCATCAACCTTCCTCTGGGCATGCTCTCCAGTATGCTGGGGAGGCAGCTCCTCCTGCTGGGGAGAAAAGGAGGGGATGGACAGGGAGCCAGGATACATTGCTCCTGCCTCCTCTGAGATGCTTTGGAGATGAGGAAGAACCTTGGACCTGTGAGCCTGTTGGTGGGGTGGGGGGCCTGGGGTAGCTCAGTTCTCCTGATGTTGGGTTCTGCTTCTGTCTTCATTCCTTTCTCTGGGGGTGGTGCTGGCCCAGCTCCTCAGACATTCATTGACGCTGACTCCATGCCAGGCATGATGCCAAGAACCAGGAATGCAAAGATGAATGAGATCTATTACCTGACCTTGGGGAGCTCACAGGGAAGAGGACCAATTGCAGACAGTCATGAGGGAGAAGGACAGGGTGCTGCAGAAGGAGGAGAGCACTCACTCAGCGGGTAGGCTGGACGACTTCCCGGAGGAGGCAATGCCAGGTCATACAGGATGAATATGAGTTGCCAGACAGGAAAGCAGGGCCGTAGGGGGGAGTAGGGGTAGGAAGGACTGTGCCAGGGGCAGGGATACCACGTGATTCCTGGGAATTGTGAGTCTCCATTTAGGAGCAATGGGGGCACCAGTCAGTATCATGCCATCACCGCTGGAGCAGTTTAGTCCTCAGGCCATGCTCCCCACAGACCCCCCTCTTCCCCTCTGATCGCTTTGCAGGTTGTCATGCTTGGAATCAAACAAGAACCAATGTCTAGTTTTTCTAGTGATCAGCAGGGTCCTCCAGGTTGGAGACCAAAGGCACGGGGTCACGTTCAGTCCCCAGGGGTTCAGCCCAAAGCTGTTGGAGAACTCATCTGGGAACATCAGAGACCCCCGGGTTCCTGAATGAATTGCCTCTGGAAAGAGCTCCCCATCACTTTTTCTTTCTCGTGCAACTTCAGCGAGTAGGGTAGAAGGAAGACGTTTGTACCAAGATGACAGCCAGGGGCTCATGCAGAGGGGGGAGCTTTCACGATGTATAATCCTCTCACCCTGACTGAAGAGGCCTGTGTCCTCTTCATGGCCGCCTGCACCACCCTCCCTCCACACAGGCACCTAGTGGTCCCCATGTGCTTCTTCCATTAGCCCTGACAGGTCCAGCCCCCAGGGAAATCTTCCCTCCTCTGTGGGTTTTGTCTCCCAGCTGAACCTTGGAGGGCGGGGAATGGCAATGGTGGAGTCCTCTGGTTCCTGCGGTACCTACCAGATAGTATAGAGCCCTGACACGATCATTGACACGTGAGTAATAATAGTGACCGACATTTACTGAGCATCCGCGACGTGCCAGGCCCTTCTCATACAGCCTTTATCTATAGTAACTCTTCCTCATAGCAACCCCACCAGCTCTGCTTTATCAATTACCCTGTTTTCCAGGTAAAGAAACTGAGGCCCAGAGAGGTCATATAAGTTGCCCAAAGCTTTGCAGCTGGTAAGTGCCAGAGCTGGGATTCGAACTCGGGCTGTCTGCTCCTGAGTTTATGCTTTTAACCCAGACTGCTAGACTTTGTATTGTGGACATCCAATAAACTCCCTGCTGATAAGTAACAGCCGAGTGTTCGTTCATTAATTCATTGACTGACTCCTTCATTTAACCCACGTATGGAGCATCTGTTATGCAGAAGGCCCTGGTGGACACAGAGAATTAGGAATTAGGTCCAGCCTCAGCCTC